TTATAAAATAATGTCTTAGTGTTTAATTTCTTTCTCCTTGTGCATAACTGTCCAAAACAGCCTGTTTTTTTAACTATACAAGTACAGTTTTTAATACAGCTGATGTTTGATAAATCAATAATTCATATTGTTACTGTTATGACTATGAATTTTTATTTAACCTGCTTGCATAATTGTTCAAACATTATTTGAATTGTGAAAATCACCCATCTCTCTCAATTTTCATTTATTTGTACAGAATTGGAGCCTTCTACGTCAAGTGCAGGCGGTCAAGCTCCAGGTCCGTCCTCAGCCTCAGCAATAAGACGCTTATGGTCAAATTCCAGTGTTGCTGGTGCTTCAAAGCAGCCCTCTGTCTCTGCCCACATTCTACCAAAGATTTGCATCAACTGTCGACAAAATAAAACTTATTTAAGGACTCTGAGGGGAAGAAAAAGAAGGAACCATTAATGCTGTGTCAATAGCCAGACGGTGGAAAAGTAGCAACAGCTGCTAAAGACAAGAAGGACGTCCACATTCTTCTTCAGATCCAGGACCGGGACTGTGTAGCAATAGAGATCAGGTATCATCGCAGTTGTTTCAGGAGCTATACTGTCTACCAATCAAGGAAAAGTGTTGAGCCCATCAAGGAGCAGAAGTATGGAAAGGCATTCCTTACATTTTGCAGTTATGTTGTAGACAAGAAGATCATACAAGAGAAGCAAATATATAGAATGACAGCACTGAGAAGATTGTTTGTAAAAGCCGTTAAAGATGTTGAGTCTAAAGATGCATCAAATTACAAGACCTACAGCCTAAAACAACGCCTGAAACGAAAGTATCCACAACTCTGCTTTCTGCAGCCTAAGAAGAGGTATGCAAGTGAAATGGTGTATGTCGAGACGTTATCAACTGAAGACCTTGTGCCAGGAGCAGTTGGTTCTGAAGGAGAAGAAACAGACACCACCACTGATACAGACACCCTATCTGATACTGACACAGACACCACAGATGTTGATGAAAGCATATAACCTCTTTGTAGCCTAAAGATGAGGAGAACCAGGTCATAACACAGGTAACATGCAGCTCCCAGCAGACTACAACATGCGCTATAAGCACTAGGTCCCAACAGTTCCCAGCAGACTACAATATGTGCTATGAGAACCAGGTCCTAACAGCTCCCAGCAGACTACAATATGCGCTATGAGAACCAAGTCCTAACAGCTCCCAGCACTACAACATGTGCTATAAGCACTAGGTCCCAACAGCTCCCAGCAGACTACAATATGTGCTATGAGAACCAAGTCTTAACAGCTCCCAGCAGACTACAACATGCGCTATGAGAACCAAGTCCTAACAGCTCCCAGCAGCATGGCTCTGCCTCAACCCTTACTGTACTGGGCTATTTTGAGCACCTCGTGACGGGGGGGGGGGGGGGGGGGGGGGGGGGGGGGGGGGGGGGCCTGGGAGGCCCCCCCCCCCCCCCTATGATCTCTGCCGTCGAAAGTCTGATGAACGCAAAAATTTGCATGTTTGTAGATATTTACGTAAGGAACAAGATGGTATAATTAGTTTTTTCCTAATATGCAATTTTTTGTCGTTATAGCCTAATTATGCAAAATGCTAATTGTATGCATTTTTACAGAAAACTCTTCATATTTATCTGTAGACTTGTGAAGAATGTTGAAAATGTATTGGATAAGTGTTTCCTTCATCTCAAATTCATGAGGTCACATTATTTTTATGATATTTGAAAATGCATAGGTTAATTTGCATAAATTATGAATACGCATTCATGAATATCAAATCTAGAAATATACAGGGAACTAGAATCATTACAAAAATTGTCAGACTCCACTTTTTAAATGGTTAATTGAAACCCGTTATTCATATGAAACTTCTTTTCTATTACAAAATAGTTATTTTGATGTATTACATCAAAATAACTATAATAACTAATAATTATTAATTACTAATTTATGATAATTTATGCAAATTACTCCTCTTTTTAAGAAACCAAATTTGGATTGTGAAATTTTGAAAAACTATCGGCCTGTTGCCAACCTTAAGTTTCTTGCTAAAACAATTGAACGTGCTTGTGCTTCTCAAATTCAGGGCTATCTATCATCAAACAATCTGTGTAGTAAAATGCAATCTGCTTATAGATCTTCTCATAGCGTTGAAACTGCTCTTATACGTGTATATAATGATTTGTTGTTAGCTGTGGACCAAGGTGATGAAGCTGTTTTAATACTTTAATGTTTTTAGACTATTCTGCGGCTTTCGATACTATCAGTCATGATGTTTTTCTTGATCGCTTACGTAATAGATATGGTGTATCAGGTACTGCCTTGAATTGGTTTAAAACCTACTTTATGAATCGTTCACAATCTAATGTCATTAATGACTCATTATCCAAACCTCATCTTCCACTTGAAGGTGTTCCTCAGGGATCCGTCATCGGCCCTTTATCATTTACTCTGTACACTGCACCACTTGAAGATATTATTGAAGCGCATGGTTTAGGCCGAATGATATATGCAGATGACACCCAAGTTTATGTTGTTTTGAAACGTGATTCCGACCATTCTGTTATTACTAAACTTGAAAGATGTATAAATGATATCAAAGCTTGGTCCACTGCTAATGATTTAGACACATTTATTCAAAATTGCGTTCGATGATTAATTAACTCTGTTCACTTTGATGTGTATTCCATATGTATTGCAATTTGTAGGTTTATTTGCATTTTTAGTTTTGTATAAGATGTAATTGTATATCAGTCTATTTTGTGTGTATAGCGCTTAGAGACTTCGGTGGTAAGCGCTTTATAAGTAACGTTTTTATTATTATTATTATTATTATTATTATTATTAAATTAGATGCGATTTTCAAATATTTATTTTCTTTTGTATTTTATTGTTTTTTATTTCTTATTATATCTATTGTTTTATTTCTAATGTATTCTTTTGTTCTGGAACACATCAAGTTACTTTGAGAAACATATAAAAGCAATTTGATATCAATTCATAGTATTCACATTTCTGCTTGTACATGAATATATGCAATTATAGCATATTTTTCATGACATGTGCATACTAATTTTTATGTAACACCTTGAAGGTATATCCGATTTCGACAAAAATGGTATCAAAATGTGCGTATGACTTGAGGGAAAAAAAGTCATGAAACGACAATTCAAAATTCCAAGCGGTTGCGGCGCAATCTCCGAAAATGTCGAGGGGGGGCCTCCCAGCCCCCCCCCCCCCCAGTACAGTAAGCGTTAAGTGAAATGAATGCTGTATGTATTGTTCATCAAACTAAAGAAGCAGCACAAAGCAAAGTAGTTTGTTTTTTACTGTAATATTTATTGTTTGTAAATGAACTTCCTCATTCAGAATAATTGTTAAATTATTACAGGCTTTGTTGCAGAAAAATGTCAAACTTAGGTATTTTGGCTTAAAATGTCATTTTCATGCAAATTTCCTGAACTATACAGTGTTTTGTGAAATATTACATCTTCCCTATAGATATCTTGTACAATAAATATGAAGTTAGACCACCACAGCGGTATCAGATTCACTGATTAAAACCAATTACCACCTGTATTAGTGAAAATCACTTGCACCGGATGCAGTCCTTTTATGAAGGAATGCTTGTTTTCAGATCTTTTGTTTTGGCCGCCATTTTTTCGGAAGTGCTCCACTTCTGGACGTGGGAACTATCAGAATATTGATAAGGAACACAATACCCACATTTTAAGCCATAGTTTAGGTAGTCACAAGGAGGAGACTACAAAAATCATTTTAGGAAGCTCTTTTGACCCCATGCCCTATAGTCTAATTTGGGGTGTGACCCATTTTCAGCTACCGGTAATAGATCTATTAACCTCTTTGGGACTTCCATCAAGGATTTCAAAATGAGCTTTTAATAGGAAGCTGTATTCATTTAATAAAGGCCATTTGTAGTGGGTTTTTTTTATTCAAAGGGCGAGGGAGGGGGGTGGGGGGGGGGGGGGGTAGGTGGTATCATTGAACACTGATTCTGTAGGTAAGGTTACTTTAAACACAAGAAACATACTGGATAAATATTTAGGACCCTACCAAAATTGCACATTATAAAGTTGAACCATTTTGAATGATGTCAATTTAATTTCTGTTAACTTTCGTTCGACGCTCACATCGTATGTATTGTAGGTCAGTAGGAGGCTGTTCACACCGCAATGAGATAGCACGGTCTATCGTAGCACCCCTTTTTTTCTAGCGCGCGCTAGACCGCGCTATCTCTCGTTGTCAATCACCAGGATTAGCCTTCAATTTTAGTAAACAGGCCTCTTATGTAATAGTCAGCATTTTCCATCACATGTTATGTTTTCAAATTAACTGTGGCTAATTTGACCCCTCTTTTGTGCAATACTGAAAAGGAAGATTGCTTTATTCCTTTATATTTGTATTCTGCGTTCATTGAGCTTTCCATTGATATAAAGTTGTATTTTCATCGGATAGGGTCTTTAACATAGACATTGAACAGACCTACATGTAAAGTAAAACCTTCTCCTATATACGTCTTCTTCAAAAAGGAGGTTAATTTCTAGTAGGCCTAAAGGTTTCAATAATTTGTTTGCTTTGCCGTTCTCTCCATGTCAGTTTGGAAGAATTAGTAGAAATGTCTGATGAAAATTAAAATTGTGTTCTTAACTGCCTTTATATTTAACAAAAAATATCAAAAAGTTGTTGAAAGTGTGGACCAAGCTTTCATACAAAAGCATGCATGTGTGTTGTCCCTTATACACATTTTTGTACGTGCATTTGATTTTTAGCCAGATTTATTCATTTAGATGATTCCTAAACCTCTTACCTCTCTACTACTTAGTGAACCTTTCCAAATAACTTCTTGACAGTTTCTTTCACAATATAAATTGCATGAGCAGGATTCTGCTGTATCTCTAAGATGATCAGTAATGTAACATCAAGATGACATCATCTGAACATCATTACTTTTCCGCCATCTTGTTATTTCAGCTGCGCTGCTCCGGGACAAACTCGAGAAACTGATGAGAGAGCATCCTGAACCAAAACCGAACAGTCTGCAGGTAAGGGATGTTCGATATGTTGATGGCGTTCATAGGCCACTTTTAGTTTTTAATTGGATGTCTCCCTCGTGGGGCGGCCCTCATCTCATTCAAGGTCTGGGTTATTAAAGTCTTAAATATAGCGAACATGGGAGGAAATCACTTTGGCTCGCTCTCAGAACCTCTTAACACATTTTCTAAATGAATGTAAGCAAAGTTTGACTTTCTATCGTTGGAGGAATCGTTGGAGGAAATTACATCCCGCTATATATAAAGCCTGAGTGCCTTCAAACATTACGTACATCATGTAGAAGATTACTCTTTCACGCTCTCTCTCCCTTTTAAGGTGTTGGTATGTTTCATGTTGTAGTGGAGTGGCTTAAAGCCCCATTGCACTAGTTGCTCCCTCTTTAAATGGAAAACAATGCCTAAGCAGTGCCCGTTGGTACCCCGTGATCCTCTTTTTCTTATGTTAATTGAGAGCTGAGTTGAAGAGATAACCACCTGCCAGTAACCACGCTAGGTGGTCTAATCCCCCCTGGCCAAACTAGTACAGACAGGCTTTAAATACTTGATTAGAAATTCCAAGGTCAATTGTTCAAGCCCTGCTTGTTTAGCACAGCATTTATTATCCTTTTGCAAGGCCTTTATTCTGCATTGCTACTCTCTACCCGGGTCATGTGACATTGTACATGTTCATATATATACAGTATATATATATACATGTATGCAGGTACAAATTATGATCAAATTATGATCTTCTCAAGTGTTTGTAGATGGAAAAAGCGAGACAGGATAAAAACTACTTTAAAAAAAAAAAAAAAATTAAATGAGTTTATGAACAAGCAAAGAGATTTTTTATTGATTATATACAATTATAATTTGGGGAGAAATTAACTCGGGTGATTTTTAATACATGTACCCTTACACAGAGTATGTACAGCAAACGTGTTTGGTGTACTAGTACATGTTTAGCTTATTTTAAGAGAAGTGTTTGGTGCATTACCTCATATAAAAACAAATTTTGCGGTCCGCAGTCATTCGCAGCTCGCCACCTAGGCACAACAATCAGTGCCAGAAGGGCATTAACTCTGTGTTAAAGTATATGAGTTAACACCCTTTTGGCTCCAAATAGACTATATTTTCTTTGGATGAACAGAGTGTTTTCTTTAGATAATATTTCCTCACAATTCTTTTCTGTTGGAAAGTGAATGATAAAGTCACCAGAAGAAAAGAAATTCTTGCATGGCTCAACTTTAAGAATGCTTTGAAAACAGGTTTGAATCAATGACCTCGTTCAATGACCTCAATATTTTAAAGTGACCAATGTGACATTTCTTTGGTAACAAATTAATTTGTTTGCTGTATTTGCTATGTTTTCTTGTTTCAATTTTTATATCATCTAATGTTAAAGATAAAGACCAGTTATGGTCATGCGATTGCATTGTGAAAGAAACGTTGTGGAATCGATCAGAAAAGGTTGATCATCTAGCATATACATGTAAATAGTGGTGTGTACTGCAAGGTTCTAGAATCATCAAAATGATAAGAAATTTGGCCCAGTCTTGGTAAAGTTACAAGTACTGTACCCAGAAAGATGTATATGGGACTAAGCACACGTGCACGACACATGCGTTTATCTCTCACACACCAATAGATATCATAAACTAATTTACCAAATATATCAATTAGTAGGCGGTTTCCCGGCAAAATTGTTATCACCATGTATTAGTCAAAACATATTCTTTCACATGATTGGTAATAAGAGCTTCCATTTCATTTTTTGAAATTGGGGCGTTTCCAATACTGGTCTTAACCTTTAAGGCCTTCTTGCCCACCTATTATTATTGTTACATCCTTCACCATTGCAACCCCTCCAATCAAATGTTAGTTTTATTCATGGGAACTCATAATCTACAAGCTGAGCTTTTCAATAGGTTCCTCAGATTTCACCCTGTATAACCTACTATTCAATACAATTAATTTTAACGTCTTTTCAAAGAATTGATTATATACTGCGACACTTTTAGTATATTTCATATTATGTTCTAATTTTGTCAATTGTGTGAATTCCTTTTTTGTGAAATGTGAAAAAAAATAAACTTGAACTTAAACTTGAACTGAAGCTACATGTAGTGCTTTTAACAAACAAAAGAGGCAAAATCATAATCTTAAGTCACTGAACGATTATCTTCTGTTTTTAGAAAGTTTCCAAGATACTTATTGTACCTGTCAAATTAACAGTCAATGCCTTTAGCAACAAAGAAGGCAAAATCGTAATCTTAAATCACTGAACAAAAAATACTTTGCTTTAAAGACACCAAATACATGTACCCCTGGAAATAAAAGTCCTTGCCTGTATGAAACAGCAGTAAGAAAAATGCAAAGTCCTAAATCCTAGGGCAGAATACTAATCTTATAACTCTGAACAATAATTATTCAGCTTGAAAGCTTTCAAGCCTATGAATTCATGAACCTCTTGAAAAAAATCGAGGGTTCAGTGACACAAAGACGTAACTCCATATTTTGCCAAAATGAGTATCTGATATCAAAATGTTCAAAAAACTGAGGGCTTTCCAGGAAACACAAAGACTTAACTCTACCCAACACCCCATTTAAGACAGTCAATGGGCATGGCTATGAAACATAGACTTAACTCCTTAAGGCCCAAGTGCTCAGTGACACACAAACCACTTTTTCTCAAAATAGCCGAAATGGAGTTACGCCTTTGTGTCACTGACCCCTCAAAACGTCCCTACCTGCAACAACAGAAAGAGGCAGAAATGTCACGACTTGATTTTTTGAATGGAATAGCAATTGGTTGTTTCCAGCCCGAGCTGAGAAATGTGCATCGCAAAGGTCATTCATTCATTCATTCAAGTAAAAACTCAATTCAGTTCATTCACTATAACATGGATGTGCATTTGCCTAGGGGCTATCGCTACAATGTAGTGGTTCGCTTTGTTTTTGCGACGAAGATAATTTGGCGAAAGGGAAATAAAGGGGAAGAGCGGCAGGTGCAGAATATGAAGGAGAAGTGGAGAGAAAGGAAAGGATGACGGTTGACACATACATGTATCTGAGAACATGAATGGAACCGACAGAATAGAAGATGGAAAAAAGAGTTTAGAATGTGAAACGGAAGCGATAAGGAATAAATCGGTCAAAGAGAAGTCTAGCAACAATAGGAATATCAGAAAAATAATGTAAACTGACAAAATAACATACTGTATACAGAGTGAGTCAAAAAAAAGTTTACACCTACAAAATTGCTAATTATTTTAAAAATCATATATGAACAGTACTCTATTATACATCTCATGAAAGAGTGTTTCATCCCAAATCATTTGGTATCATTTTTGTGTGGTATGTGTTCACGCTTAGATGAACAGGAGGCATTGTTTGCGAGAGTGCACAAATCGACTTGCTCCAAAGTTGCTTATCTGATGTTTAAATAAAACAATTGGAATTTGGGTATTAAATCTGGTTTTGCAGATCCAAATAACATCCCTGACAAAATTAAACATGCCACACATATCAAATATTGAATATCAAATATCAACGAACATTTGTGCGCGTGTGCGACTTTGCTTCTGCAAAAAGCATTTGAAATGCATTTCATTTGATACATTCAATTCATTCTCTCACTTCGCTAATCCCAACTTAATACATGCTGTAGGCATCACTTTGGCGCAAGTCGATTTTTGCACTCTCGCAAACAATGCTTCCTGTTCATCCAAGCGTGAACACATACCACACAAAAATGGTACCAAATGATTTGAGATAAAACACTCTTTCCTAAGATGTATAATAATTTATTGTTTATAGAGGATTTGAAAATTAATTAGCAATTTTCTAGGTGTAATTTTTTTTTGGACTCACATGGTAGACAAAGAAGTGTTGAGTATGAAGTAGAAAATTTGTTAAAAAGTAGAGGAAGATACAAAGGAATTAAGCTTTAAAATATCAGAATAAATGGAAATCAACAGAATACAAGATTAAAAATAAGTTTGGTATGGAGAAGTAGCATTTATCTTTGTCCCTTTCATGACTACTTACATGTAGTACCGTCACATCAACTATAGATTCTGGGGCTTTTGTCGATTTTGTTGTACTCTTATATTGTACCTTTCCAAAATGCAAAGATGACGGATGAAAAAAAACCGCAAGTGCATGAAAAGACAAAAATAGCACACCATTTTGTGTACTATTTATCTTAGACTTAGCCACTGTCATGACTACTTAAAATGTACATGTACATGTACATCTATATTTCACACCGACAACTACCGGTATAGATTCTGGGACTCTTGTTGAATTGGTTGTACTCTTAAATCCTGTCTGCACTATTTTTGCCAGGGGGATTAAACCTCCCTGCAAGGTCATTGACAGGTGATTATCTCATCATATCAGCTCTCAATTAACATAAGGAAAAGGGGGATCATGGGGGAGCAACAGGCACCGATTGGGCATTGTTTGCTATATAGAGGGTTCAAGTAGCTATAAGTAGTACAGTGTGGCTTTAATTGATGAAAGGAATCACAAGTGCAGGGGAACTGGAAGGACAAGCAGAAGAGAACAAGAGATAAAATCAGACCCTTCCGTGTCCTTTTTATTTTAGTCTTCAAAGACTACTTTCATATCTTACTTAGATTCTGGAGATTTTTCACAATGAGGCCTTTTTCTGTCATAGTTTATTATATAGTTTGTTATTTAGGAGTATACTTTGATACTAATTTAACCATGGAAACACATGTTAAAAATATATGCAAATCAACATACTATCTTCTGTACAATCTCAGACGTATCCGCAAATATTTTGATCAAGAAAGTATGAAATTGGTTGTACACGCTCTTATCACAAGTAAGCTTGATTATTGTAACGGGTTGCAGTTTTTAATGCCTGATTCTCTGATAGCTAAGTTACAAAGAGTCCAAAATGCATGTGCAAGACTTGTCTATCGTCGGTCGAAATTCACTTCAATCACACCTCTTCTGAGAGAACTCCACTGGTTGCCAGTCCGTCAAAGAATCTCATTCAAAATATTGTTAATCGTCTATAAATCATTGAGTGGTCAAGCCCCTAATTAGATCAAAGAATTACTTTAACTCAAAGTCCAATCACACAGTCGTAGCCTGCGCAGTTCCACAGATAAATTATTGTTTCAGATTCCCCATGGCAAAACTAAAGTAACTCTTGGGGACCGTGCTTTTGCTATTGCTGCCCCCAAACTATGGAATAGCTTGCCAATAGAAATAAGAAGCACTCCATCTCTCAATGTTTTTAAATCCAATTTAAAAACTTATTTGTTCAACTGAGTGATCTTATTTTGTAGAATTTAGTAAAAAGGAGCTCTTAACCAGCGCAGCTGAATATATTTTGTATAAAAGCTGCGCTATATCAATTTATTATTATTATAATTATTATTATTATATCAACTTAGAG